TATGGAATGAGGTTGTCAGGAAGACGCCCCTTCTGCAGGCAGACACTGACCGTATTTCTCCCCGGTTTGCATTTGACAAATCCTACACCGTACTCACAAATAGATAGGAGGAGACTGCCCGTGGAGATGTAATCAACGTCTTCACAGACGGATCAAAAAGGAAGGAGGGTGCAGGATGTGGAATATACTCTGCACATCCGATATCAGTTGGCAATGGATATGCATGCTACCGTTGTACAAACGGAGTTAGCGGGCATAACCATAGCCGCTAAGGAAATTGCCCGCAGGCATACTACGGGTAAAACCATCAGAATCTACACAGTTAGTAGATCTCTCTAGTGGGAGGAAGTACAAGGGGCCCAATGGGGCCTAGGTACTGTAGCTTTGCTACCCTCCCTACAACTCCAGAACAGAACATTCAACCACTACATAGCTGGACAACTGTAGTCTCTAGCGTCATTCGCAATACGCATGGAGAGCCATGTGGCCTCAACGACTCGGAATACTGAAATCCGATTTTGCAATCGTCGTTGCGATAGTGTTTACCTGTTATCTGTGGTGTTTACAATAGTTTTTTAGTAGTTAGTGTCAAAAATAGTTTGCGTGTATATCAACTCGGAGTTGATGGATATCGGTTTAATTTATGGTGAAGCAAGACAACATATGTATTATGGTGAAGCATTTGTGTTATGGTGAAGCAAGACAACGTTTGTGTCAGTTCATAGAAACTGATTAAGACGGACCCAAATGTGTTTACACGTTGGTGGATAAAATTTTGAACAATTGTTGTTGTAACATCGGGTATGTCAAATGATTTTATTATTTAAAAACACAAATTAATTTTATTAATTAATAAAGACAAAAGCAGTTGAATTTGCCGATATAAAATAGGCGCTATAAAATTATATTTATTTCTTTTCTTGCGAAAGTTTTTGTCTGTTTAAAGTTAAACTTGCTTTGGAACAAAAACAAGTGAAAAAATGTGTCCTTTATTGATTGTATTGCGATGCAACAAATTTCATCATCATTTACAAGACTGAGACTAAACTACTTCTACAAATAAGTTAACATTTACAATAATTGCTGAAACAAACCTTTTTTTGGATGCTCTGTATCTTAAGAACCAAGCCATTGCGAACCCATGTTCATTTCAACTTTTTATCTTAAAATTAGTCAAAGATTCACTCTTTAAAGTTTATACAAGTACTTAATAAACACCTAGTATAAATATGACTCATACCAAATCTAGTACATTCCAACTGGTTTAGAACTTATTTAAGAGATAACTGTCAGCAGATCATCTTCCAGTTTTTATATCTTCGTAGCGAACCTGAATTGTCTGCTATTTCATTTGAACATTTTGTGTTAATTTTGGACAGAAAACAAACAAGTCTGGCAATTGGATTAAACGACACCCTGTACTTACACCATTTAGTACTATAAATTTTGGAACGTGACATGTATTTATCATCTAACAGTCTATAATTATAACATACGTGTAATGAAGCTTCGTTTGACGTAGTTTGGAAAGTGTATTTTTAAAAATTGTCACTTTGTATCAGACTATTTTCCTTGTTTACAATCTGGGTAGACGGTGTAGTCTTTTACCTGGCATAAACACAAACCATAGTATCCAGAAATAGCTTGACAATAATACTTCTATAATAATTGATAACCGTCCAAGTGTCAGCCAAATATTTGAATATGTGTTATATAAGGACATAATTGTTCGTATTATCTATTATGACAATGGCGTCATTAGACTGTGTTTTGAAATTCTCATATGTCTGCTAATTTGTGTACCTATACAGGATATCTGTTTACTTAATTTTATAATTTTGTAAATTAATAATTATTTTAAATAGTAAACTGTTTGCTTTATGTAACTAGGGAACATATTTCTGTCATAAAATATATAAATAAATAAATGTCTCAATATTTCACGATTTTTAATTTGAAGAACATATAATAAAAGAACTCGATATAAAATGAACAAAATATACAGTCCACTCAACAAACAAAATAAACAATATCTGAAATGCATTTACCAGCAAGCCACCATAGATTCCTGAACAAAAGTCGAGACAAAAGTTTTTGATATTACTGTACATAATAATAGATAAGAAAAGAAAATTTTATATGAACATACTTCCTAAACTGCTACCAAGATTACCATAGTTCATTAATATTTGTCCTAAACATAAGTTCCCTTAATATTTTTTAAATACTTAAATACAGGGTGATTCAGAACTTATCCTAAAAAAATTTTTGAATGTGCAGGGAACTCTTACAAATACAATTTTGTGAAAAATAAAAAGGGCAGTTAGAAAATTATTTAAATATACACTTCTGCACGGCACTGGAAACTGGTGCACTGTAAAACCTGACCTTGCGCAAGGGGCAAAGCATGCAGTCGTAGACCGGCAGAACGGAAAAGTGTAATAAAAAATAAACGGGCAAAAAATTGAACGAATTTCTTTCTCAAGGAAAGAAATAAATAAAATTTGATTACACCTATTTTATAACAGAAAATTCAACGACTTTTGCCGATTTTGTTATTAATTAATTTGTGGTTTGAATTATTAAAATAACTTGACATACCTGATGTTAGAACAACTGTTCAAAATTTTGTTCACCGAAGTGTAAACACATTAGGGCTTGTCGTACCCAATTTCTACGAACTAACACAAATGTTGTCTTGCTTCATCATAACACAAATACTTCGCCTTAACACAAATGTTACCTTGTTTCACCATAACATAAATACTTCTCTATAACACAACTGTTGTTTTGCTTCATCATAACACAAATACTTCACCTTAACACAAATGTTGTCTTGTTTCACCATAACACAAATGCTTCACCATAATACAAATGTTGTCTTGCTTCATCATAAATTAAAACGATATCCATTAACTTCGAGTTGCTATACACGTAAGCCATTTTTGAAACTTGGAATAGTAATGTAATACCTACTAAAATCGGATTTCAGTATTTGGTATCGCCTGGGTCCAGGTGGAGAACAACGCGAATGACGCTAGAGACTACAGTAGCCCAGGGTAAAGGTTTTAGGTACCACAACTTCAATAATTTTTTTCCCGAAAACTATAAGGGTCTTACAAAAATTTTTTCTTACGATATTGACTTCATTTTTTATGACACATCTATTCTCAATTTTTTTGGATGAGTTATGAATCACCCTTGGAAGCATTTGGTAGGTATGTTCAAATAAACTTTTTTTCTCTTATTTTTATAGATACAGTCGCTCCATCAAATGAATTTTTAATTGAACAAGAAAATATAACCATATTTGTTAATCAAGTTTCACAATCTAATTTGAAAAATATATTAAGATAAAATATCAAAGTTGATGACGCAAAGACCGATGCAAAATAGTATAGAAAAAATGTACACTATGTATTTAGTGTAAAGCAGTGGGGAAAACTTAACTAATAAAATACACTTCTAATTTAGCATTACATTTTTTTCTCATTAATACATATTTTTTTAATTTAAAGGCATATAATGCATTTAATTTGTATTTATGTTGCAAATAATATTTATAAAAACATTTTGTTGCACAGTGCATACGTACTGTGTACAAATTTTTAAATTTATCATCCCTTTCCTCACATAAAATGACACTAATTTACTGTAACAATTTAAAATTTTCCGATTCTATGGTAGAATATTCGGCATTTTAATAGCTATTGTAAATGGACAATAGTTGGAATTGTTTCACACAACAATTGACTGTGAGCCAAATGTTTTTTCAACCAACAACTTTAAAATGAACCGTTCGTTATAGGAGTTTTTCAGTGACAGCGCATTCTGTCCTAAGTATGTCGCAACTGTTGTGAGATGAGCGAAATCTACGACTTAATATACGAGTATTTTTGCTCTAAGTTGGCACTTACAAACTATAGTGTTTTGTTTGTATTCGAAAATGATCTATCTATCTATGACCTTTCCTTATTCAGTGTGTCTTTTCTGTATTACTCCGTCTTCTACCGTAGCCTCTTACTTGGTAAGACAAACAAATCTGTGAAGGGACAGAAAGGAATTTTTTATGCAATGTCATGAATAAGAATTCCAGTAGAAGCATCCTCAAGTCTTATATGCATTATTTTAATCGTAAATGCCGTTTTACCAAGTTACAATCCTTTTAAATATTTTTTAGTCATCAACAACTAGGTATTCATTAAAATTTTGGTACCCTCTGCCTTATGAGCGAATTTTTCATAAAGTTTCAGCCCGACTTTCCAATATTTCAGAAAGAAATATTTAAAATATCTTCGCACAACAAACTCAACAGAAGTTAGCATCGACTAAACAATTAACGTCGATGTGGCAGCAATAACAAATCAGCATGGCTATAAAGGAAACTCTCTAGCTTCTTTACAAATTCCAATAATTCTACTTCGTTATCTTTAGGTTTCATTTTTAATTCTATTCACATTTAGGTGCAATATTCTTATAGAATCCTGATTTGTTTTTCTTGGCTACAAATATTTTAAGAAAACTTTAATTTTTAAATTGCCTTCCCGAAAAATAATTTTAGAAAACAAAACAAAGAAAGTATTATAAAAAATAATTTATTATAACATATTCATTCTCAAATAATGTAGGTATACCATATTAAACATCCTTGATCATTCTTTCAAATTTCAATCAAACAGCATGGGATTCTCTATAATTCTAAACAAAAGAATTTAAATGATAAATAGATTTATTTAGGAATTGTGTTTAAAACAATATTTTTATAATATTTATTCGAAACTATCCCGCCATATAACCAAATTAGATATCCTATTGGAGATTTTTAAATTACCTCTGTTTATCGTAATATAAAACTGTTTTTTTGATTTAAACTAGGAAATGAGCGGAAAGTTTTATTGTTGATAAGTATTATATTCTTTATAACGGTTGAATTCAAATGATTTAAAATGCCAGGCATTTTCTAGTATGTACAGTGTACCCAATACTTTTTTTATTTTCAGGTCGTCCTAGTGTTTATTCTAAGCATAGCTTCACTAGTTATTTACTTCATAGATGCCTCAAAGTAAGTAAAATCATAACATTACGCTAAACTACCTTAGTTTTAAATGCATTAGTAGATATTCTGTAGATGGTTGTACATAAACATAGTTGCTTTTGTGACTAATATATTTTAATGCATATTTTACTAGAATCTACACATTAAGTTTCAACATGTAGTATGTTTCAATTGTGACCAAAAATTACTAGGACACTGATATATAAGACTCATTGTTGCAACGAAATATGCTACATGTCCTATTCTACCATAAATATACATTTATAATTTATTATACCTACTTAGTATTAGTATAACATTTTTTCTTAATTGTTTATTTGTTTTTTAGTTACCATACTGGGTAAATATATTTTTGATATTTCTTCAAGATAAGATAAGTATTTCCTTAACACTTCTATGCCAAAGAGTGAAGCAAGTAATACAAATAATAATTTAGTTAATAATTATTTGTAAACTGAGCAAATTTAATTGGCAATACCTAATTATGCATTTGCAGATTTTTATAAATTGGAATAATATTAGTAACATTACCGTATATAATTTTTCTTTTCTTAATTGGCTTTTTCTCTATTATTTAACAAACTAACAAAATTGTACATACATAATAGCACGATTTGTTTTCTTCTCTTTTTCTTCTTCAGCGTTTTTTGCTCATGTACTTGGAAAAAAATTACTTCCTAAAAATGTTGTTAATTACTTATATGAATAAGATTAAAATATTTTTTAAAACATTTCCAAACGAAGTCGCAGTTTTTATAATGTCGACCATTTTCTTGATTTTTTTTCCTTGGTTACTTTCGTTAAAACAAAAACAATGTCTATTATTCGGGGAGAATAATAATTTTCAATTTTATTATTTGTTAAAGCTCTTTGTTAAAGGCAAATAGATTTTGTTAAGATTTATCTATGCTTGATTTGTTTAGTGTTGTGTTTCTGTACTAATATGTTTTTTTACATTTTTGTGTACAAAAAAACTTGTCAAGAATTTCTGATAATATTAGATAAATTAAGTGTTTATATAATACATAGGGCTTTCAGCAATCAGTACTGACGAGTAATACTATTTTAAAACCAGTCGTGCACTGACAGCTAGGCTGTGTTAAGTAAGAAAGCCTATGCCTATTTCTCACCGCTTTTGGTGTGCTATATCTCATAATGCATGGGTAAGTTAGCATAGATTTCCAGCCCGCTTGATTCGGCATCGTACAGCTCAGCTTTCGGTGTGCGGTCGGGTTAAGGATATTTTACTGGATGGAAAATAAACTGGTTAAAGTAATAGTAAATATATCAGGGAGGTAGAGTGTTAGGCAGATAGTGTCGAATATTAAATGAGTGTTAAAGAGGGTCATTTCTATCTATTGAACCAAAAACAGTGTAGATGTTTGTGAGATATTTTCGATTACGATTTTTTTCATTTCATTCCCTAACACAGTGGCGTGCAAGTAGATGTGTTTCTTGAATATATTGTCTCCACCTATTAATTTCTTAAGGAAAAAGGACTAAATGAATTCGCTGTCAATTTAGTATGAAAAATATGTCTTGCCAGTTTGTCTTAAAATTGCTGGATTTCGAGTAAAAAGAAGATTCAATTTGCTGTTCCAAAAAAAGTAGGTGACTAAAATAATAAAACAAAAATATTAGCACCTATGTTTATACTTATTTTTTTGTTCTAAGTAGATAAATTGATTTTTACAAAATCTGTTTTGTCGTCAAAAACTACATTTGTCCATAAATAGTGAATTTTATTGATAATAACAGTAACATTTATTGTATAATCTTTACTTAAAATTGCAAATGTTACTGATTTTACCAATGAATGTGAACGTGTTTACCGAGAAAGGGTAGCAGATTCACATCAAATTGAGAAAGCTTTAATAATGAGTAGTTTCGATAAACTGAAACGGAAAAAAAATAATTATGGATGGAAATGCAGTGCAGTGAGGCTACCAATATTGAGGAAATTATCTTACAAGTCGAACAATAACCAATAACAACCACAAAATACTGAAACAAGCTATGAGAGTTTAAAAAAACACCATCAATCGAATCATGAAAGAGCTACTACTTAAGCTTTATCATCTGCAACCAGTACAAGATTTATTAGAGATTGCAGGGCATAATCTAAGGGTTAGCTCTAACCGAAAAGGTAGTTTTTAACAAAAAAAGTTAGTTCTAAAAGTTAAAAAGGGCAGTTGCAAAATTTGATTGCTTGAAGAACTATGAAGTTGAAATTTCATGAATACTTGCTAAATGCTGGTCCTCTAAAAGGTTAATAAATAAATAAATAAATAAATAAATAAATAAATAAATAAATAACATAAATTTATTGAAATAAAACAATGACCATGTACTTTGAGTACAGTAATGACGTACAGTACTCGACAGTATAGGAATGTAGTATATACACAGTGGTAGGTTTCTTGTATATTGTTTATAAAGCACAGCACTCGCTTTTACTGGGGCTTTTGGATTTAGAGTTTATTGTCCGGCATTTAAAAAGTACTGCATCTTTTTTTTGGAGAGAGGGGTATTGGGCTTTATGTTGGGATCAACAAGTTATTTGTACAATTAGAATTTTCGGGCGCTATCTTTGAGCTAACAAGGGGTGATTGGGTAGTTCTTAAAATTCCTTAGATTATTCCCTTTGAGATTGATATCATACCTCGTTCCGTTTTTGCTCGTAACATTAAATATTGCTAGTAATGATCATAGTTCTCGTATTCTTTTTATCATAAGTTATGTTTTACCTTAAGAGGAATCACAATTTTCATAATGCAACGTCATTCATGAAAGACTTTTCAACATGTATTAATTTTGAATTAATGGATAGGGAAACCATTGACTGTATGTTTGAATTTTATTCAAAATGTGTTGCCGATTCTACTTGAAAATTGCTACTGAATCTCCATGGGGATACGTGATTTATATAGATGGTACTTACTGCACATTTCTCCTAGATCAAGGGTCGGCAAGTAATTTTAGGTGGGGTCCGGATACTTTTGAAAATTTTTAACGAAGTCCACAAAAAAAACTCACATTCTTTCCTAATTTTTTATTTTAATTTGCACACAAATTTAAGCTACCTACTAACCATTAAGAACTCAAATTAATCACGCAATTGTAGTAGAAATTATAAGGGTGGCACTCAAACGTATTATTATCAATAGAAAACTATTTTTTCAATAATTTAATTGAGTAATTTATACTTTCAAAATATTTTTGGGAGTCCATTATTTTACCTTCCGCGGTCCGGATCTGGACCGCGGTCCGCCAGTTGCCGACCCTTGTCCTAGATTGATGAAGTATATCCAGAAAAATAAATTATGGCAGAGGATTTTAAACCGTGGGGATGCTGTTCGTGATATTACAGTTATACTAAAAATACATTTCTTTTTACTACGTATTCATCATTCATTCATCATTCATCATAATACATGGCAATTACTTTGAACACCTATTGTAAGAACAGGTGTTATGATTTTTCATTATTTTTATTTTTATACTATTAACATATTTCAGATACTTAATAAAAACTGTAAACTGTGTCAAAAGTACCTACATTAAGAGATGAGTTGATAATATTTGCGGAATCAATTTACAATAGACTTATATCCATTAAAAAAAAAGTTAATTTAAACATAGTTGTTCCCCAGATAAACAGTCAATTTGGTATTTTAAGTCCCTATTTCGGAAGGGCAAATTGACTTTCACTCTAAATCTAGCAATTTTAGGTGAAACCCACATTTTTCGTGCGAAATCGACAGTTAATTCAGAAATTCAATTGTTTTGCTTAAGAGATTGAGGAAATATTTTTAAAAAACGAGGATGCATTTCCTTTTGGTACATCACAAAAGTAGGGAATAAGATATAAAAATTATTTTATTGCTTCTCATGCCAATTTTTTCAGAATATCTTCATAACTTTTCATAACTTTTAGACGAAATATTTATGGACTAACGCATGTTGATTTAAATTTAATTGTTTTTTATTTCAAAAATTAGGTTACTGTATGTTCACTGTTTTCTTCTGTACTACGTTATATTTATGAAATAACAAACTCTTCTATCTCTCATTTGTAAGCTCCACTAAACGAATTTTATTTAAATTTGCCTATTCATAAAAAATATTCACATATGCGGGACATTTACATACTGTTCATGCTTTCAATTTTTCTATTTCACCCTTCAATCACCACGCTATTTTGTGGTTACCTGAACAGCTCAGTTATGCAGTTAAATTATATAAAAGTATAGTCTGCTTTAAAATAATAATTCCATCACCTAAGGTGGTACCCAGTCGTGCAAAAAGACCGGTTTTATTATCTCTATCTCTTCTAACCTCTTTGTCCAGGGTGATTTCAAATTCATTATATAAACAGAAAGTGATGTCCCAGTGATATTTAAATAATTTTGAAAACTTGCCTACGAAGTAATATATCCATCGATAATAATAACTTAAAGCAAAACAGAAAAAATAGAAGCACAGAGATTTCAAGGTTGTCGTTTTCTTTTTCTATTCTACTTTTACACAGAACAACCTCCCATTTTCAAGTGTTTAAAATGATTTGATTGTCAGTAAGACACTTCTTTGGATTTTTATAATGACCATCAATCTCGTTATTTCTCTGTACATAAAAATATATATTTTTTACGAATCGGCTAATTTAATTAAATTGTTTTTTTAATAAATAGTCAAGTTTAAAGTCATTAAAAGCTGCTTAGAGTTTGTCAATTCACAGCTGTAACTTCAACAGGAAAAAATAAAAAATTTAAAAAACTGAAAATCAAGAATATCTCGGATACGATTACACTTTGCATAAGATTATTTGATTTAATAGATTTTAAATGACCTCATTTAGCAACTATGGCAATTTTTTATACTACCTGCCTAACACTCTGTATAATAATACACGTCATTATTTAATTTTAATCTAAATCTTACTTAAGTAAGATTTACATTTTAGGTCGTTTCCCACTTTTATTTATTTATTTATTTATTTTTTAATG